GACGGCTAAAGGAAAAGGGCAACCTGGGACAAAAAATGGAATGATTGAGCCAGGTGGACTGGTTTGAAGGATAATATGGAATTGGTCAAGGTCTACTATATCTGGACCGACCCGATAGTCCTCGTCCGTAAGAGGTACTGGGTAAGGAGGAAACTGACTTAAAAGGTATCTGTACCAGTTTCGTCTAGCCTGTTCTTCGTAGAAACTCAGACTCTCCTTCGGTATCGAAAGATCCCTGTTCGGGATCTTCCGGTTCCTCTTTGAGGTCCGGTAATTCTTCCGCGAAGTCCTGGAAGGCTTCCTCAAAATCGTGCGATGCTCCTGGAAGATCGGACGACTCGAGATGTGAAGAGGAGGGAGGAGTGGGAATTCTCGACGGTTGATGGTCGAGAGATGGTGGGTAGTCGAAGGGGGGAGGGGGAATAGAATTTCTCGGCGGTTGCTGGAAATCAGCGAAAGCAGGCGAATATCCGGAGGGAAAAGGGGGACCAGGATTTTCCAGATGTTGAGGAGATTCAGGGAAGGTAGGTGAATGTTCAGGGGGAGGAGGAAGAGTAAGATTTCCCGATTGTTGAGGGGTTTCAGGGAAGGCAGGTGACAGGGGACACTCGGAGGAAGAGACAGGTGAATAAGAGGGGGGAGAATAATGAGGAGAAGAAATAGGAGGACAAGGGGGTAGGTTGTGTATTTTGTGTGTTCGTGTTTGCTTATTATATATTGTAATTAAACGATGAGTTCTTAGATCGAAGGAATACTTATCTAAGTTAAATTTCTTATAATCTATAGTGTAATTAGAATCCGCGGCTGCCTGAGTCAATTCTTTTCTCAGCTGTCTGTTCCGACGGTTTCGCGACCCTTTGATGGTCGCGCGCGAAGATTAATTTAATCTTTCCACTAAGGAAAGGGCCGTGATGAGTAATGATAAAAATGAAATCGATTGTGAAGAAATTTTTAATTCACGAACAATTCTTGGAAGTTTTCTTTAATTAACTGAATAACTCTAGATTTCAGATCCGAATAATAAAGAAAGTTTATATTTTATATTTCTATATGAAAATTTTCGGACGAACTGGGAGTAGAAAGGGAGTTGCTCTGTAGAATACAGGTGACTCTTAATTGCAGGTTGGAAATCACGAGTAGCTCTGCGAAATACAGGTAACTCGTGGTGACTGATAGGAAGTCTTTTATCACGCTGTAAAATACAAGTAACTCGTGGTGACTGATAGGAAGTCGCGCTGTAAAATACAGGTAACTCGTGGTAACTAATAGGAAGTGAAAATAAAAAGGATTCGAGATAATATTTCAAGGGAAGAAGTATGAGAATTAAGGAGGAGATGGTTGCACAGGGAAGCAAATCAAGATCTAAATACGAAGTATCGAAATGAGATACTGATCGATCCAAGAATTATTTCGGAATATAAGATGTAAAATATAATAATAATAATAAAAGGAAAGGAAAAGAATTGAAAATTGTTCAACCCACTTACTACTTGAGGATTGGACGAAACTTGTAGTGGCTAAGTATACTTCGGCTCCAGCTGTCGTAGCTGATCGGAATGGGCTTGGCAGTGACGGCTCGGAAACCTGGCTTGTTGTTGCTGGTTTAAACAACGGCTTGTTGGAACTTAGCACTTAAGTATCACTAAGTCTTTCACTTTTATTTAAACTCACTCTCTACGCAATTTAGAGTCGCGGGAAAATGAATATTTTGAGCTCAGAGCTGACTACTAGCTAAGTAGTGATTCGGTTGAAGAACGAAAACGGGTGTCAAGTATCGCGAGTTCTGGTTACGGATCTTGGTTTCATCTGTAAACCATCGTCCATGTCCCTCTCCTTATTCTTTGTTTTAAATCCTTAAGCCCGTTGCGCGGATCTTAGAGTGGAATATTTGATCCATCTGTTTGTTTTCAGTACGCACATGGTCTAGATTTCTAGCGTTCAAGGTCTCTTATCTTTGTTTAAAATTTTCAAATCTTTGACATGGGTCTTAGTCCCGGAATATTTATTGATCCGTCTCATGGTTAAAAAATTTTATCGTTCTGAAAGATTAGTCTCGCCTGCTAGATATTTCTTGGTTTATTGTTTACGTCGTGTGCAGAAAGGTTCCAGAGCGTAATTTTTTATATCAGTGAAAGAGTTTTTATGAAAGAAAAGGATCGTGGAGTCCACCGGACGGAACAATAGCTTATGCTCCTTTTTAACTATCGATAAAAAAAGAGTTGTGGTTATCAATACATGTGGGTTTGATAGTATCACATCCATAATTGCATGTGCATGCATTAACGAATGTTATAAAAATAGTATTGAAACATCCGATACTAACATTATGCGATTCGTTAAATGCTTTTTAAAAAATGGTTGCAGCCAAAATATATATAAATTAAGAGCCGAGATATTAATGGGTGTTAATAATTTCAAAACTCAGATCGATGAAAATAATATAACTATAGACTGTCTTTCAAGCATAGGAAATGTTGCACAATATGTTTTCAAAAACAGTTCTAGTTATACAGAAATAATAAATTGTGTTGTATGTTCCAACATTATCATGCATCAATCTGTATTGATTCCTATTAATGTAGATATTATTATAATAAGTACGGATATTGCGAGCTATCCACGGCTATATTAGAAGATATGCCAAATAATAGATCCACCTGCTGTAAACAACGTATGAGCAGAAACATAAAATATGAAAAACAAATATTGTTCGATAGCTTAATCAATAATTTCACGAATCACACGTAGGAAACAGGCACACAGTGTAACTGTCGAGATTGTATAGCAAAAAAACCACAAATTTAACAAAGGAAATTAAATCAACGTATATTTACAGAAATATGTACAAAAGCTCCTCAAATAAAAGGAAACTCGCGGATTTCGCAAATGTTTTAACTGTTCATGTATGTGAGCTGAAGCAAGCAATTTAAAAAAAAAGAGCGAATGCGTAGATGACTACGAATGTGAACGATACGAAAGCGATCTGGCGCCGCGTCGCGCGCGGTCGCTGGTTTTATAAGTGGCGTTTTTTAGAACGTTCTACTGTCTAGAAACCCAGCTCGAGTATCGCAGTGGGAGTGACTTTAATTGTTATGTTACCCTTCATCACTATTATTGTTTCTCTTGCGCGGTTCTGTTTTGTCGTTTGGTTTTGACAAGTTAACGGTCACAATAATTTATGATGGCTTTGAAGGTGATAATTTCGAACAACCGACATGAGTCTTGCGCGTTAAATTTCAAAATTAGAGAAGGTAAACATTGATTGATATTACCCACTCATGCTCTCGTTAATTAAGCGGAGAGTAACAAATGCAAGACTGCTACACGTGCAGCCGTTTCGAATACATATTTATAGAATGCGACGCAATAGAAAATGATATAGAGAAAGAACATCCTCTTGGAGAATTTCAACCGAAAATTCAGGCTGGCGATAATTCGTTTCTTTTAGTGGGCATTGTAGCACGATACGATGATATTGGGAATGAACATTATATAAGGTAGTAGGATACTAAGGGCGGTTCCAGCCCATTTTTCCCATGAGCGTGAGAGAGAAGAGGACGGAGATATGCCTAGAAAGAGATAGAAAGATGACCGCGGGGGGAAGTGCGGGCCGGTGAAAGAGCAGGGGGGTACGTAGGGCGAGACGGGAAGCGCGGCCAAGGGGAAAGCGGGGCGAGAGGATGGGGTGTCGGGGGAGCGCGTGACGTCACGGGAGGGAGCGGGTACGAGTCGCCAAGATTGCCCGGGAGATGGCGCTCGGCTCGATCGGGGGTCACGGTTCCCGACTCGCCCTACGTACCCCCCCCTGCTCTCCCCCAGGTCCCCACGTCCCCCCTCGGTCATCTTTCTATCTTTTTCTAGGCATATCTCCGTCCTCTTCTCTCTCACGGACTTCTCTCTCGCGCTCATGGAAAATGGGCTGGAACCGACCTTACTAGATGTCCAACGGAATCGACGAGATCGCCCGGGAAATGACGCTCGACTCGATCGAGGTCGCGGTTTCTCCCCGTCGCGACTCGACTTTGGCGCGACTCGTTTCTTAGGAATGCGATAATACGAGTACGCGGATAAGCGTATCACGATTCTCCGAAGAGCAAAGCCTGCAGCTTGCAATCGATTAGATGCGGTCGAAGTTCTCGCTATCGCGTATCATCGCGGGAATAAGCGCCGAATCGTGAACGCCTGCCGCGATATCGAGGAAACGAGTCAGCTTGTTATCCATGTGCGCGGTTAAACCGCTTAAAGATGCAACGATGCGGTTGACGCAAAGCTCTAGGTTTATATAGTTAGGACGGTGCTCTTCGATACGGCCAGATGAGCCTTGGGCGTTTCGAGACGGAGTATTCGAAGATTGTTGAGTTTGCCGAATCGCAGCGTCAACTGTTCGATGTATATCGGCGCCGGAGGACGCGTCTCATTGCGCTTGTCGGAGCGAAAATGCGACAGAAACGTGGATCGTAGATCAAGCAGTTCCTTCCACATATCCGGCGTTAGCGAGATCTCCTTGCCGTGGCAATCTCCAAGGACGATCTCCACAAAAGAGAGTCGACTGACGTTAACGCTGACCTCGAGATGTTTGTACGCGGTTTTGGTCAATGAGTAGCGTCTTCCTAAGATTCTGAGCGGTCGCGCGATCGAGACGTCCGCGTCGCGTCTCGCCGTCTAGTCGCGATCTCGTCTGAAAATGGATGCGGGCGATAAGAGAAACGACGCTAGTAGATTATTCGTTCGAATAAACGTTTAATAGTTTTACACATTGTCCTGTTTAGCTCTTTTAACATATCCCGCGCTATCCTCGCGGTCTCGCTCGGTTAGCCTCGATCGATCGTCGAACGAGTGCTGCTGTTGCGGTAGCCACCCCATTGTCGCGTACATTATCGCTCGTTTTTTCTCGTTCGTAGGCTTCGGCGTTCTCCGTCGACAATGAAGCGCTTAACTGATGGATGATCTTTATATACTCGCGTAGAGATCGCTTCTTCCTCTTTCGCGCGCGTCCTCTCTTATGTTCTATTTTTTAAAAATGACGGCAGAGTCGCTCTAGTCGTCCTCATCGTCGATCCTCTCTCTCTCGCGTCGCCGAGACGATAGACGCGACTGAGGAGATCGCGCAATTGTCTTAGCAGCCCATCCGTAGGACACTCGATACCGAGCGCGTGTAGATCGAAAGGACCCGCCGAAGTTACGATATTCGTGAATTCGTTGAAGGCGTAGAACAAACGTTTGGCGAAGAAATACAGATTGCCCTCGATATATCGGAAGGCCGACGTTATCGCGGGCGGTATTCCGGGAAATATATCTTTTAACGGAGCGTGTCTAATGACTATCATGTGACACTCATCGATCTCCGCTATTTTGTCATTGTCGTAGATCGCGTAGGTTCGTCCCGTGTGCGTGTTTATCGCAGCGTTGATCTTAACGTTTCGGGGAAGTCCGATATCGTGGAGATATCTCCACGGCCAACCCGATTTTAGCTTAAGGCTGGGATATTCCGCGAGGTAGATCGAATCGTCCGCGAATAGCGCGAGATCGCCCGAGGGTCTTCGATACGCGGCGGATAGGCGCGTGAAATTCGCCGGGAGAAACGCCGCGTAATCCGTGAGCGTCATGGGTCTATCGTAGCGTCTCTCGGTCACATCGACCGACTACACATTGCGGCGATTAGCTATGTACAATCGGTAATTCATTATCAGCGCGGCGTCCACGCGCCGCAAAGTGCAGAGATCCGCGCGCGCAGGATCGGTTGGCGCGACGCTCGTCGTAGCGGGTGCCGCGGTGGTCGCGGGAGTCGCCGTCGGATAGTTTCCGTCGTCGTGAGACCCGTACAGATTCTGTATAGCGAGAACATCCTCTATGCTCAGCTTAACCAGAAATTGATTCTCGATGTTGGGTATATACGGGAACATTATGGAGTCGTTGCGCATGCTGTGTTGTAGACCCAACGCGTGGCCAATCTCATGCGTCAGCGTTTGCAACAAGTGATACGTGTTAGGAGAATTCTTATTTAGATACACGTGCCACGGTTCCGAATCGTCAACGTGCACCTCCGACACGAAGTCGGTCGCTCCCGAAAGAAAGAACGCGTGAGCTAGAGCTCCCTCGGGACCGTCGAAGGTCGCCGGGCAAACGCCGATGTTCCGGCGATTTGCGTAAGTGTGCGCGCCCGTTCGATACGATAACAGGGCCGTGTTCGAGAACATCACCCGTATGCACACATGCGTTGTTCTATCTTTGTTCAACTTTCAGTAAATAATAAAGATAGAACGACGCTCGGTGCACACGGGTGACGTTTTTGAACGCAGCTCAGAACTCGCCGTTTCCTGATAATTGATAGTATTCCTGAAACAGCGACAACGCGCGACGCAGAGATGTCGCATTATCGGACGACAGCAATTCTCCGTCGTCCTTCAGAAAACCGTATGCGCGCAGGAAGCAAAGCGCCTCGGCCTTCTCCGAGTCGACGGTCGCGGCGGCCGTCGCGGCGACGAGCGTTGTCGCTAGGACGAGAAGAACCTCGCGTTAGTCATTGCGCGGAGCGGGGAAAGTCGCGGGAAACTATCGAGAGACGCCGGGCGCAATTGATTCGCGCGTTCGGCGAGACGCCTATTTTTATCGTCGGTGAATTTGACGCGGATGGGGGGAGGGGGAAATGCGTCGACGATTCGTTTGAGGAAGAGTCGCGGTCCGCCTCGATTAGAGGGACGCGCCCTTTTGACGACGAGCGAACATCGGTCGAGCGTTCGGGACCAGTGATGCCAGTTTTGAGACGCTGCCACAGCCACAGCGTGTGGAGGGGATAACTCACAGAGCGTTCTGCGCATTACACGTACACGGTTCACGCTTGTGTGAGTTATCCCCTCCACACGCTGTGGCTGTGGCAGAGTCTCAGAATTGGCATCTCTGTTCGGGACGCGTGTTATCTAGCGGACGCTCGAGTTCCTCTCGCAGTTTTACTTTTTTTATTATTTCTATTTTTATTATTCGTTTATCCTCTAAGAAGAACACTCGACGAACGATTAGAGAAACATACTCCTTCCGGCGACGATAAACATTCATCGAGTATCCGGGATGCGCGTTATTTAGCGAGCGCTCGAGTCCCTCTTATCGCATTATTTTTTGTTATTTTCCGCTATAATCTATTTTTATTACTCGTTCGTCTCCGCTCGAGTCGAGCGATTAGAGGAACAGTCGTGGAAGGAAGACGTGGTACGATCGATAAATGGTACCGCGGCATCCGCGCGTCGATCCTTATAAGCGCGAGATCGTTTCGAGAAGCGTCAAAGTATTCTCGCTCGCGAGATAGCGAAGTGACGAGGCGACGAAGCGTGAAACGGTGAAGAGCAAAGTAAGGAGGCGCGAAATAGCGAGTTAAAATCGGTCGCGAACTGCTCGATATGGAACGAATCGAGCAGATAATTAACGCGGCCGATTACATTAATGTAAACGGGGATTTAATCGCGATAAAGTCCTACGTTTTGGGAAATCTCGCCTCGGATCTGCGCGAGGAGGCGCGAGGCGTTATCGAGAACAGTCCAGATTCGTTCGGACTCGCCTTTCAGTTGGACGGAGACATCGATATCGCGCGTTTAATGTAAGTATTCGATCGGGATTTTTTATAATACTTTTTATAATAAATTATAATCTTTTAATAACTCTTTTACTTTTTTATTTTAGACAACAGATAGAAGACTGCATAAGAACGGCGCGAGAATCGCTCTACGATCTAATGACGAAGATGATGACTATGCTCGCGCAGGCGCAAAGCGTTCACAGCGCGTTGCGCGACGCTCGCCGACGCGACGTCGCGCGAGCCCCCGAGCAGTTCGAGTTTCGCAATCGCGACTTCGCCGTCCCTGAATTGATCGACCGGCTTCACGGACGCGACGTTAGGCGAGTCGTCGCGTCATCGATCGACGAGGAGCCCGAATCACGACCGATCGACGAGGAGCCCGAATCGCAGCCGATCGGCGAGGAGCCCGAATGGCAGCCGATGGAGGACGAGGCCGAACCGTCGACGGTCGACGAGGGTGAACCGCCGGCGAGTATACGATTGGAGGGTTACGAGCCCGAATCGCAGCCGTTCTTCGAGGAATAACTATACACGCTAATAAAATTTGATTTTTGTTCGTACTTATATACTTCGTGTATCGCACGCGCGCATTTGTAAAATGCGATTTTTTACGAATAAACGCTATATGTTAAACGAAGCGTCGATTCTTTTCGCTTCTCTTTCTTTCTTCGGCATCCTCTCGCTCTCGCGCTTCTCGTAATAAGCGTCGCGCTATCCTTCTTTCGCGCCTTTCGTAGTAAGCGTTGGCGCTCTCTTATCGCGGAAGGATACGCGTTCGCGATAAAAATAGTGTTTGTTTAATGTGTAAAAACAAATTTATTTTAGAAAAAATATACGTTTAATATAAAATATGTTTAATATAAAATATGCTTAATATAAAATAAATTTGAAATACGATGACGCTCAAATATATATTATAAATAATTAATGTAATATAAAATAAAAAATGCTACTAACTCTTTGGAAAACCACCAGATTTAACAGGGCTCTCAACAGTCCCATCGCCAGGTTCTCCGCCCACCATGACGCGTTCAATCGGCCTCGGCACAATACGGCTTCAATTAACGACGGCATTTTGAACACTTTTACTTTATTTTAATTTTATTATAATGACACTAGTCTGTTAGATAGTCGAACACTTTCTAACGGACATCAGTATAAACGTTTTAAAATGGGAGATGCGTGAGCTATTATCGCGGGAAAGGATACGCGGCCGCGATAAACGGTATGCTATATAATATATGATGATGCATAATATACAATAATTCAAAGTAGATATAAGATGTTTTACATAGATATAAAGTAATATAATATAAAATAATATAATGTAAAATCAGTCGCACATATCACGCAAATGATCGCGTCGTTCGAACCACCAATCGTGCAGTTTGCAAGCGTTCTCCAACGCGCAATTCTTCGCGTGATATCCGCAGAGAAAGGCTTGCGAAGCGTTTAGAGTCTCCAGACGTTCGATATCCTCGTAATCGGCGTCGATGGTCTCGACGGAGACGGCTACGTCGCGATCGTCGGCGACGTTTCCTAAGATCTCGATCAACTATTTTTTCTTTTCGTGACCTTTGACGTAGCTCCTCATCGTCGAATCGGGGCTAGATCCTCGGCATACGGCGTCCCGAACGAGTCTTTTCATCAATCCGTAATTCACGTGTCCGTCGTTCCACTTTAGTTGATGATGGTTAGACGTCAACCAACACGCTCGCGATTTTTCCGCTCTCGTTAGCAGATCCCAAGACATCGGTGGGCGAAAGATGTGATGCGTCAATTCCGCGCCATTTCTTAACACGGCTACTTCTTTCGCGACGAATCTCTTGTTAACTACGAAACCTTGAAGATCGACGAAGATAGGTGCGTCCATCGTCGTCGTTAGCGGTACGCGAAGTGTTCGCTTCTAGATTATTCTCTCTTCATACTTTTTTGAATATCATCGCGCTTACACGATTCTGCGCACAACGTTGGTGAGCGGATTGTACTCTACCACTCGATCGTGAATGATAAGTGTTCAAGATAGAAACGTTTAATTTAATCGATATATTTAAACTGTAAATTCAACCGACAAATCTGAACGGTAAGAGCCGCAATCAAAACACGAGCGAGAATAAACATCGTCGCGATCAGCCGATCAGCGCGTGATCGCGTGATCATAACAAAGAAAAAGTGTGACAAACACCTAGATTCTCGAACGTTCGGTGCTGAAAATATCCTATTATGGAAATCGGTCGACCACGACTCTTTTCCGTCGTTATTCAGTCTGCCGCTGACGACGATTCGAGCTGGTCGATAACAATCGATCATAATTTCTCGTATCATATTATCTCGTGTCGTATTCTCGCTCGTGTCGTGTCGCGGTACTCACAGACCACTCGCGCTGCTGTTGTTACTTTGGCTCGTGTAGTTTACGCTTGTGTCGATCGCTCGCGCATTTCTTATCGTTTAATTCGCTCGTGTCGTATGCGCTTTCGTCATTCTCGTTGTAAATTCTCAACCGACATTCTAGCATACGATAGAGCATCGAACTCAGTGCGAAAGAAGCCTCATTGTCTGTATTACTACCTGCTCTATACTTATTGAGTTAGTGATTGTTAAGAGTGTGGAGTCCGAGAGTCGACGCGCGTTAACCGTTCCGCGAATGTCCTCTGCCTCGCGCCAAGCAACATCCGGCGTCCGCGTGCAAGATATCCGTTCTCGCGAGTGCCTCTAGCAAGAAGCTCTACAAGATTTCCGAGACGCGTCGAAGGCAGTCATTAACAGGACATTTTGAAGATTTCCGTCGGAGTCGCGAAATACGTGCCGTCGCTCGCTCCTATTATTCAAAATTAAATAAATATTGAAAACAATCTGCAATCGAGTATTTTCTGAACTCTCCTTATCCTCCAGCGGATCTACGGATTCGCGTTACACACCGCTTCTCGCTCATCTCTGAGCGTTTCTCAAGATTCGGGCGATTTCGTCGAGGTCGACTCCTGAACAATAAGACAGTAGGCTGTGGTATTAGAGGGGATGTTCTCCTTGCAGTCAAACTCTACGCGACGTCCACGGTGGCGCTCTTGATCGACTCGTTCTGTCGAGAACAGTCGATGACTACGAGCGGGCCGTGGACTAAAAATTTATTCAGATTTAAGAGCGCTTCGTCGTTGTCGCATCCGTAGTACGTTCTTCGAAATTTCGAGTACATATCGTACAGCACTGCGACTTTGCGCTTATCGAAATCCAGATTTATGTCGTAGTAAGAATTAAAATCGGAATTAAGATACAGCTTGACATTAGTCAGTTTGCAATCATCGAATAGGGAAGGCTCCTCGGACAGAACGTTCTTCTTTCCGGACTGTAGCGCGAAAATAACGTATCGCGATTTCTCGAGTTGCGTCGCCGCTTTGATAGCCCACGAGTGTTTAGTCGTGCTTTGTAGAAGCGGAAACTCGTAGAGATCCCACGAGCGAAAAGCGACGCTCAGGTATCGTCCGCTATCGAACGTGCGCAATAACCTTAATTTATTAACATCGTTTAACACTATATGAGGCATACGCCACTGTATTTTTAACAAAACGATTTTAGGCTCTTGCGTTTCGTACGGCATGATACAATTGTTATCGTTACGCGCTCGTATCAGAATAAGTTCGTGTCGCGCGTTGATCACAATACGCTTGTAATCCTCGGAAAAACCTAATAGCACGTTGAGAGGTATGCAAAAGTTGAAATCGTTGATCGACGGATGAGTTACCGCCGATAAGTCCCATCTGGCGTTCTTTAATATCTTGCCTTTTTCGACTGTCAGCGACGCGTAACTTTTGATCGTGCTCGTTATCTCGACGTTTCTGCTTCGATCGATCTCCACACCGTCGAGCTCGTAGCGAATCTCCTCGAACATAAACGCCTGTAAGTGTAATCACGGGCCTGAGCGCGCAAGTTTTACGCGATATCATTGGCAAATTTTGATCGCTTATGACTCAAAAACTATTGCAGCCTCAAAAATTTTGTATTAGAATTTTTATCTCTATTTTACCTCTAGAACACGCTAATAAAGTATTGAACGGAGGTTGTGAGACACCCTGTATATATATTATATATTATATTATATATTTATGATTTTAGGATACGTATATAAATTATTAAAAGTTTTTATCCACATAGAAAAATGCACCTCAAATCGATGATTTAAAAGAAAGAATATTATTCGTGTGGAAACAACAAAAGGAAAAAGATATTTTAAAAAATATGTATATAATAATAATTAATATTTAACTTCACTTTTTATGTATACTATTATGTAGATATTTACAATATTATATTACGACATACAAACGTATACTGACCACATATATACGTTTGTGTTGTTGTCAAATTTAAAAAAATAATGAATTATGATTTTCCACACCACCCATCATGAAGTACCACCAATGGCGCGTTAGATTTTTTTTAACGTGGATCTTCGCCTGTAGCCATATCATACCACATTATATTATGAAATATTCTCTATTATATCTGTTATTTACAGAATAATTTTTTGTCTTTTGCAAGTGTGATGTCAATTAGTGACAAGAAATTTTTTACACACTTGCCTTTTGCAAGTGTGATGTCAATTCATGACAAGAAATTTTTTACACACTTGCCCTTTACAAATTT